AGAGAAGAGAAGAGAAGAGAAGAGAAGAGAAGAGAAAAGAAAATGCTTGGAATCAATGAGGATCAACTCTACAAATGTGGGTGGGGATGGATCTGAGAAAGATCATCAGATACAACTATCCTACTGACGGAGATTTATTCTGTTTGGTGAGTGTGGTTTGGTTTGGACCAAAGGTGATGCAAAGGGCCATGATTTGGAGAGTGGTCCTCAGCCACAGTGTGAGAATGGACTCTGGGTCAGCTCTGTATATAGCAGTTATGGTCTTAGGGTCCTTTAGTTCTTGAAGGTTTATGTGGCTCAAAACCCTCAAGGCTGTGGAAAGACCTGATTCCCAAGGAAGTAGCTTCAGCTGACATAGCCTATTAATCAGCACAGTTAGGCTGAATGTCCCATACTTACAGAAAAAGAATATCCAAGTTTCTTGCTAACAAATGGTAACTGAAAACAACCCCCACTCTCGCCCTGGAGCTATGCAGTGCAGTGACCTTGAGTCCTGCTAAACCACAGAAGCCTTTGAAATGTATCCTTATTAATCTTTCCTCTCTAGTTCCCACCTCCATCATCTCTGTCCAGGGCTTCACTCCTAATATCTTAATTCCTGAAAACACTCCTAGCTCATGTCTCTGCCTTCGGGCTCTCTGACCTTCATCTATTCCCTAAGTTCTGCCTAAATGACTGTTAAAAATATTCAGCGATTTCTTCCCATAACCAAGAAAACGTATTTAGTGTAGTGAATGCAAAAATGTGAGGTAACAGAAATAGAATATATTGGTCTCTGCCTCTAATTCCTGGCACAGAGCTGCTAAAACTCTTATAACTTCCTAAGTGATTAGAGCAACAGGAACATCTTGTGTTCCAATGACGCGACTCTAGGTAAGCTCCTGGGAGGGGATGGTCACCAGAAAGACCAAGCCGGGATTAGGGGCTTGAAATTTTCAGCCCTACCTCTCACCCTCCAGAGAGGGGAAAAGGGCTAAAACCAGAGTTATCATTGACCATGTGTATGTGATGAAGACTGCATAAAATGTCAGTAGCACAGGGTTCAGAGAGCTTCCAGGCTGGCAAACATATTTACCCTGAGAGGGTGATGCCCCCCATTTCCACAGGGACAGAAGCTCCTGTGTTTGGGACCCTCTCAGACCTAATGCTATGTTTTTCTTATCTGGCTGTTCATCTGTGTCCTTTATCATGTCTCTTAATCAACTGGTAAAGGTATGTATTTCTCTGAGTTCTGTGAGCCACTCTGGCAAATTCTTTGAACCTGAGGAGGGACTCCTTGGAACCTCTGATCTGTAGGAAGTAAGTCAGAAGCACCTGAGCTGTGACTGACATCTGAAGTGGGAAGCAGCCTTGTGGGACTGAGCCTTTAATCTGGGATCTGACGGGATCTCCAGGTAGATAGTGTCAGAATGGAATTAAATTATAGGACACCCAGCTGGTGTTGGAGACTTGCTTGTTGTTGGGGTGGGGCGGGGGTGGAACCTCCACATATTTGGTGACCAGAGTATCAGAAATAAAGTGATTTCTCAGTAGTAAAGAAGACTCACAGGGAAGAAAAACACAGGAAGAACTGGGTTTTTCCCTACACAGGAAAGACAACAACTGTTTTTCCTTATAAAGAATGCTTCAGTGAGAGTCAGGATGCCAGGTTTCAAGTCTGACTCTGTTCTTCACCAGAACTGGTGTCTTCTTGTGCAAGTCATTTAATCTCCCTAAGCTTTGTCTCCTTGTCTACAGAGTCAGAGGCAACAATACCTGTCATAAACAGCATTTATGGTGATTATCACTGAGATAATGGATGCGAAAACTCCAAAGTGTTACACTGCCTGGATTCAGCAAGAGAAATGTAGCTATCAATTATAATAGCTCACATTTATGGAGCACCTATGATGTGCCAGGTGCCATTATAAATGTTCTACAAATGTCACCTCATTTAATTCTCAGAGCAACCTTATTTTATAGATTGGGAAACTGAGATATAGAGAAATTGTGCCCAAGTCACATAGTTGTCAAGTGGTAGGATTGGGTATGAGGACAATATGTATGGCCCCAGAGGTCATATTCTGCAAAGAAAAAAAAAATGTGGGGAAAAGGGAGGGATCCCTTCTGAAAATATAATTTTCCAAATAATCTATAGTCTTTTTCCAACAATTATTTATTTGGAAATTTATACGTGGGATGCATATTTATGGAGCAAATACTATGTGTCAGGCATTTTGCTAAATCTTAGAAATTCAAGGAAAAGTAAGTGTAATTCTGGAAGGACCTCAAGGGACACACAATCTAGTGGTGGGCAGAGACCCATGAACAGTGTGATAAGGTTGGGAGAGTGCTCTGGGACCACTGAGGGGCACTCAGCCAGGCTTGGTGGGGTCAGGGGAAGCATACTGGTGACAGTGATAGTAGAGATGAGCTATAAAAGACAAGTAGGATTTAGCTAGGCAATCACTGGCCGGTAGAGAGAGACTTTTGAGGAAGAGAGAACAGTAAATCCACAATTAGGATGGAAAATAGAACATGCGGGGAGCAACCAGACCATAGTCATTGGAATGTGATTCCATGTGGCCAGAGACTTGGTCTGATTGTTCACCACCAGATGCTCTGGCACTTCCTATTTAAATGGCAGCCCTGAAAGGGCAGAAAACTTGTCTGTTTGGGTCACTATTATATCACCAGTTCCTGGTAAAAGGTAGTGCTCAATAAATATTTGTCAAAAACATACATGTATGCATGGAGGCATAGCACGTGCCAATAAATACTTCTTGGGTGAGTTATTTAATAAGTGAACAAACAGGGATACACCTGCAAAAGAGGCTGGGCAAGTCTCTAGCTTTCATGTCTACTGCATCAAATATAAACCCGATCAACTATCAATCAAACTAACTTGAGTTGGATCATGAGGTACCTTGGGTGTCATTCCACAATTGTTGATTCTGGGACCTTCTGAGCCCTGTGATGATCTTTTAAAACGCTGGATAGTGACCTGCATAATACTTAGATTCATAGATTGAAATGGTTTTGGAGGAGAAAGTTATGCAGGAATATCAAGTTCAAACCCTTCATTATAAAGATGAGGAGACCAAGGTTCAGCAATAAACTGACCAAGGTTATATAGCTATTTGGGGGCAGAGGAGAAGACAATCCCATTCTTATTCATCAAGTTGCATGAACCTATTTATATATTATCAAAAACAAAAGGCAACTTGGACTTGAATATTTTGGTACCTTTAATCTTGAATCTGAATTTCTGAATTCATTAATAGATATTCCAAAAGAAATTTAATAGAATTTACATCTGTTATGAATAAGTATTCATACTTCCCAAAGTAGTAAGTATAAATGTCAAAAAAATCCTCATCTCCACCTTTCATTTGTTGAACTCTTACTGTCTACTAAGTGTGAAGGGCACAAAGATTAAGAAGATCCAGACTAATTCTCACATCTTACCAGTTCTAAAATACTATGATGTTCCATCCTATTTTCAAATTTCATCATGTATCCTAACTTAGTTTGGAGGGCTAATTTCCATGCAATGTTTTTTTTTCCTTTTTTTTTTTTTTTTAGTGCTGTTCAATGTTTTTGCCTTTATGGAAGGCATAACTCCACAAAAAGTCCATGCTTACTTGTTGGATGCTCCATGAAGGTTTGTCAGTACAGTAAAATTGTTTCTCACACTTCGCAAGCTGGCAAGGACCTATAAGGACAATGATCAGGATGGTTAGGAACAAAAGGAGATGAATGGGCAGGTTCAGAGGCCACACATAGAAACTACCCAGAGAGACACGGAGAGCAAGCCAGGGCCAGCATGATACATACCTGGGCAAAAGGTGTTACAATCAAGTCATCGCCGTGTCTGGTGAAAAGAGAGAAAAGAAACATTTAAAAGTGCATTTGAATTATAACACATAAGCTGTAATATTAAACTTGATCAGTGTTAGCAACACAAGTGTTACGTAAGTCCATCTACCTGGGTATAAGGCAGGACTTATCTAGGCATAAATGGGGACCTTAGGGACTTGAAAGAAAAAAAAATACCTAGGTTCATGGCTCCTGGGCTTACAGGGACACATAAAAGCACTTGCAAATAAGTATATATCCTCAGGGTACATTCCCATTTAATAGCAGACCCACAGTACTGTAATTCAAAGCGACTTGGTTGCCAGAGGTAGGAAATTCAAAGGGAAGGCTGCTCACCAGCACACACAGAGTTGGAAAAAATGGCACAACAGTCTGGATAAAGGTTAACTTTGGATTTCCTGGCTTTTGCTGATTTGAGCCACAGCCTTAATGCCATTTAAACACAGATTTCTGTCTGGGAATCCCATTACTTTTTGTTTCTAATATAACTTTTTTTCTTAAAGTACCCAAGGAAAATCTTTTAATGGGAGTGTACAGGATGAACCTACCATTACCATATCATTGTTGCTCACTTTGTCCCAAAGATCTGATTAAGCTCTACCTAGTTATGTAAATCTGTACTTAGGAAGAGTCTAAAGCATGTTTTCAGAAATGCACTCTCTCTTTAGCACAAGCTTTGATTAATTTGCTTAAGTCCACATTCAGCAAGTTCTCCATAAAATCATTAGAAGACACATTGTCGTTAGTTGTAGACACAAAATCAGGCCAATCTGTTATCACAGTGTGAATCCTAACAGCTGCGCAGAAGTTGGTTGACAATGAGCTTCCTTCAATGTCTGATCTCTGTCCTCATAATCCTCATACAAACATGGCACCTTATTTGTTAATAACGTGAATGCAACCAATGACTATTAAGCACCAGCCACATATCAGGAATTCTATGAGGCCTAAAGATGCAGAGTTGAACCACACATACATCCACGTGGGCCTCTTCTCCAACACAGGCTTTTACTTTGGGGTCTTATTTAACATAATACTTTGCTTTCTACTGTTGTCTTTAGCTAGAAGTCCCCCTTCAAGTCATTCTAGTCAAGTTCTTATGCATCTACTTTGTACAGTGACTACAAAAAGAATACTGACAACAGAGAACATTCTTTGCATGGTTACCATATGTTACACCCTGTGCTAAGCACTTTATGTACATAATCTCATTTAATTCTTGTAACAAGGCTTGAGGCAGGTATTCTTTGTTTAATTTAATTTTTTATTTTAGAGAGAGAGAGCTAGTGCATGAGCAGGGGAGTGGGGTAGGGGAAGAGAGACAGAGAAAGAGATTGAGAATCTTAAGCAGGCTCCATGATTAGTGCAGAGCTGTCGTGGGACTCAATCCCATGACCCTGGGATCATGATATGAGCCTAAATCAAGGTTCAGATGCTCAACTAACTTTGCCACCCAGGTGCCCTGAGGCAGGTACTCTCAATGTTCCCATTTTGAAGATGATATCAAGGCTTGGAGAGGTTAAGCCACTGCTTAACTAACACATAGTAATTGGAGTAGCTAAGAAAGTTTGATTCCAAAAGATCTGTGCTTTTAACTATTATGTTACCTATTTTATGATGATCCTACATAGTTGACAGATTGAATTAAACAGAATCCATGACCTCTTCAAATTAAAACATAGCAGGGGAGACAGAAATAGATAAATACAGAATGAGAACTATAAACATTTAATGGGGAAACTTAATGGGGTGCAAAGGAGAGGTAATAATTACAGTTCAGAGGAAGTAGGACAGGCTTGATCAAATGAGTGGTTTTGAGACACACTTTGAAGGGCAGGCTTCAAAAAGCATGGATGGTAGATGTCACCAAGGAGGGAAATATCAGGAACAACGGTATTAAAATGGGAAAGTACTGAACACATTTACTGAGATTCTTGGTGACTGTTTAAGCAGAGTTGAGCACATTTACTACAGACATATTTGGAGGATAAGGTTAGAAGGTCCCCACCCATCTTATGGATGGTATGGACCATAGTTGTGGAGGCGGTGCTTGACTCAGAAGGAAGAAAGGAGCTAGTGAAAGTTTTTAGTGAGATAGGCAAACAGAAAAGTGCTTTAGAAAGTAAAAATGCTGTAGACACCAAGAGATGGATTGGTGAGAGGACAAGTCAGGAAGAATATCCAGGGGGATATTGCAGTCATTCAAATGAGAAGAAATGGGTGAGGCAGAGGAAGAAACAGGGAAAGACAATCTGAAGAGACCCTAAGTGTCTTGCCAAGGACTCAGCGTTTAATTGGATAAGGGGTCATAAAGAAATACTATTTTCCATTTAAAAAATGGGTACGTGGGAAAATTGTGAAGTCATGAGCAGAAATGGGAAAGTAAGGAGAAGCTGGGGGAAGAGATATGTCACTTTCTCACATGCTGAATTGTAAGATCCTCATTGATATCCCAAGGGAGACATCAAGCAGGAGGATTAAAATACGGGAATTAGAGCTATACATTTCAGAGTTACCTACAACCGTGGGGGAAGTTACGATGGCAGGGCGGCTTCTGGAGTGGGGAAATATAGAAAGAGGGAGCCCAAGGAAGAACTTCAGGGTTCTTGGAGAGAAGCCAAAGGAAACAGAAGAAAGAGTTAAAAGAGGATCAGTTGTGATAAATGCAGGGTGGTGAACTGTAACAAGAACTGCCCCTTCCCAAGTCATTTTCCTGAGATGAACTTTACATGGGTGAAATATCTTGCTATTTGTTCAGATTTCTGCTGTGAAGTTCACATTGTTCATAAGGCATTGGGGTGAGTTGGGAATAAGGTAATGGAGTTAAGAGTTAAGTAGGTCATCCAAAGCTCCTGGATTTCTGGAGTCTAAATACCCAATACAAGCTAAATATATAAACAAATCTCATACATATGAAGCACCTAAAGCTGATGAATTATTGCATGAATGGGAAGTTACTACAATGGTACAAAGTAATGATTAAAGGGAGGTAAGCATTATGAAACTTTTGTAGTTCAGGAAAGCAGAAAATTCGGAAGCAAGAGATGGACTTCCAGATCCATAGCATTGGTTCTCTGAAAGGATTTGAACAGTAAAAGCTAATGATATACGTCAGATAATAGCTGCTAGAGGAAAGGATCAATTTACAGATCATTTATAGCCAGTATAGGAAAGAAACAAAACAAAATTCCTATCTGAGTACAGCCAGATTATTTATGAAATGATTCCAAAATTTTAAATCATAATCTTACATATTAATAATTAGAATAAGATGGCATGGAGAAAATAAAACACTTGATTAATTATGAAAACTGATGTACTTAGTTTTCCAAACTGCTAGAGAGGGCAATGCCAGATATTCAGAACCATGGCATGAGCAACATCTAGTGACAAACCCAGCACATTACAGTTTTGTAGAATAATCAGTGATGAGAGCTCTGTGGGTCTTTGAATGAGGGTAGGTCTGCATTGAACAATGACATGGTTTTCTAAAAAGCTAAAATGCTACTTTCTTCTGCTATACCCTCTGGACTCTATTAATTTTGTCTTTCTCAGTTTCATACCTACATATAGTATTTTACTTATACTTTTCTTGTAACACTGATTTTAGTCTGTCTTATAGACAGACCTATACTATTGTAGTCAAGAGCACAGATTTGGAAGCGAGACAACATTGGTTTGTTTCTGAGTTTCACAATTACTAACTATGAGGCATTAGGCAACCTCTCTAAGCCCCAGTTTCTTTATCTGTAAAGTGGGGTGTTGTAAGAATTAAGTGAGTTATTATTCATGTACAACTCTTACAACAATGCTTGGCACATAAAAGCATTTACTCATTTATAGTTATTCTTATTAGTAGTAGGTATCATTATTATTTTAAGTAAAGAATTGCATGTCTATCCTCCCAGCTGGTGAGAACGTTTCTGGAAGACTCATCTCTACCCCTACTGCAGTCAAGAGAACTAATATCGTGCTTTACAGTTTACAAAGCATTTTCACATACATCATTTCATGTGATAAGAGAATGTTCTTGACTGTAAAAAAAAATGGTGCAACCACCTATCTTGGTGGTCAAGCCTGAAACCTCCCTCCACAGTCAACCACCAACCCCTGTTGATGCTAACTTACAAATATTTATTATTGCCCACTGGATCCGCTCTAATGTAGATCCTCACCCTCTATTATGTGGATTACCAAAGCAGTCTTCCATTTTGCTCTTGGACACTAGTCTTTAGGTTTGTCTACTGTCCAAACCACTCTTCACTGTAATCAGAGCTATCTTTCAAAAACATTCGTTGGATTATGTATTTTCTTGCTTAGAAGCCTTTATTAGTAGCTCCCCACTGATTGTCTTCAGCTTTATAAAGACCAACTCCTTAACACAGGCCGTTCATGATGAGGTTCCTGCTTACTTTTCTAGCCTTGCCTTTCACCACTTCCTCATCTACTCACATTCTCTGCTTCAGCTGTGCTGAGGTGTGCTTCTCCACAATGTTCCTGACAACTAGACAGTAGTTAGTGCATGGACCTTCTTCCTGCATACCCTTCTGCCTGGCTAACTCTTCTAGCTTCTCTGTAACCAAAGTGGGCTACTCGCCTGCCCAGCCAGACCTTTCAAAGTCCTGTGCATACCTTTCTATGATTGCTTTATTCAAAGATATTAAAACTGCTTATACACTTACAAATCTTTCAGTTCCCTTGAAAACATAGAAAATGTCTTATTGGTTAGCAAAGTGCCTAAATTGAAAAGTTTTTGTTAAAAGAAAGATTGAATATGATCCTCGTAACAGCGGGAAAGGTAGGCAGAGTAGAGTTTAATATCATTATTTTAATTTTGCATCCTCATTTTGAGTCTATGTACTAAATATCCATATGGTTTAATCATCTACACTCCCTGTATTTAAACCTTGGTTCCCCATTTATTAGGTAGGTTACTTAACCTCTCTAAGCATCAATGTCTTCATCTTTAAGACAAGAAAATTATAGTTCCCATAAGTTAAGGTTATGGGAATTCAATGAGTTGAAGTATGTAAAGCACTGTAAATAGTGCATAGCACATAGGAAATGCACTTTAATTTCATGTGCACTTTTATTTACAGATAATTTGGACACTGTAAAAGAGATTCAATGCCAAAGCCATGGTACTAGTAGGTGTGATGGCGGTATATCTAACTCAAGTCTCAAAGACCACTTACATTGCAACTTTTTTTGGTAGTTCATCAATAAATTGGTCTTAAATTTAAGAGATCTGTTATGAATGCTTTTCTTCTTCAGTCTTAGGTCTCATTTCCCTTGAGAGCTCTCTCCAGAGAACACTTAGTTCTCGCACAAATGGCGGCTTTAAAAAGCTCTTTGCCAATATAAGGCTTTGCAAATGGGGTAACCAAATGAAGGAAATAAGGATCTTCCTTCCCTGTGAATTTGCAGGTGTATTATCAAAACTCCGGCCTGTCCAGGGTGATTCCTGCCATAGTTCTGGATAACATAACTGGCCTCACCAGTTTCCAGTACTTTATGTTCCCATTGGGAAATCAGTACCTTGGCGCACAAAGGCATTGCGTTAGAGATGACTACAACACAGGAGCAAAAGAGAAGCCAGTAGATTATTGCCACATCTAGGGAAACATCTCAAATTTCCTCTTGGGACCCAATGATGGTCTTGTTTTCTTTACTAGAAAGGCTTATTTCAATCTCTCTTTTGTTGCTAAAAGTTAAAGCCACTTGTAATTTTCCACTTACATTTTTACTTTTAATCCTTATCTTCTCACTCACTCTCCCTGCCTATATTTCCTCTTACTCTTCCGAAAGCATTCAGAAGAGAAATTAAAAACAAAACAAAAACAAAAACAGTGTTGCCTCTACTATTAGGGTTTAATACAGAGGAATTATGCAAGTTTTCCAACTCTTACATAAATCCGTGACTGCTGTGTGCTGAATATGAGGAGCTCCTGAGCAGGGGACATTCCAGAGCCCCCACCTAATGGCCTTCACATTAAGACTCTAGACCTGTCTTTGCCCTTCTTTTCCTCGGCTCTACGGGTAGAAGGCAGGAAAAGCAGCGAGAGGCTTGGGGGTTGCTATTCTCTATTTGTTTCAATTCACTCTGAAGAGTAATAATCAGGTAAAATACCTTTGAAGGCATGACTTTAGTTTATCTCAAGCTACATGTGTGAAACTGGATTTTCCAACATGGTCCCAGTAAACTGAAATCCCAGAAAAACCTGGGCATTATTCAAGCTCCACTTCTTATAATCAGAAATATAAATTCTTAAACTGACAAATATATAAAAGTGTTACTGTAATGTTGAAATATCTCCAAAAAAAAAAATTGTGCCATTTTATTCACTCAAGACTTTCCTATATTCTATAATCAGTATCTTCGATAGAGTGATATTATGTTGCCAACAGTGTTTTCTTGGGAAGAGCTGTTCTTTATTATGAAAGTGTTTCCTTCCTCCATTTTTTTCTTTTAATTTTAAGAAGTCCTTTTCTTTAAAAAAATGAGAATGATGGGGCGCCTGGGTGGCTCAGTCGGTTGAGCGACGGACTTCAGCTCAGGTCATGATCTCATGGTTTGTGAGTTCGAGCCCAGCATCCGACTCTGTGCTGACAGCTCAGAGCCTGGAGCCTGCTTCAGATTCTGTGTCTCCCTCTCTCTCTGCCCCTCCCCACTCATGCTCTGTTTCTGTCTCAGAAATAAATAAACATTAAAAAAAATTTTTTTAAATGAGAATGATACTAGGTAACTTACACATATAATTCTTATTTTCCTGAATTTAAAGTTGGCAACATTGTGTAGGTTTTGAGTTAGGGGGAAAATTTTGCTGGTTGGTAAAACTGAAAAGAAGGTATACCATGAATATTAGGGAGCCTGAATACAGAATCATTCGAAATTATATCTCTCTTTTTACAGCTGAAGACTGAGTTGGACGGTAATCTTTCAGGTCTCTTCAAGTTCAAAATTTTCATAACCTGTGACTCTTAAAACATCATCAGAGTTTAATCTGAAATTTGGTTGGAACCTTCTGAAAAGCCTCTGAATGACCCTGAGACTCATCATGCTGTTTGGCAAGAGTTTGGGGAACTGTTAGCTGCCTTCCAAAGCTAGTCTTTCACCTGTGAAACATCATGTGAATGAAGCTCTATTTAGTTTCAGCTCCCCCCATTTCCTACGTTCTCCCCCTAGGAAGTCTAGATAGATGTTTCTCTTGGTAAAAGAGACAATGCCAGGTATATTCACTGTCAAGCTCCCATGCAAATCTTGGTCAGAAACACCCTCGGTTCTACATGACCTGCAACAAAGTGGTTACCTCTCCTCTGGCCTCAGGCACCTTGACTCTGCACTCCTCTGTTTTCTACCTGATAGTTGAGATTCTGCTTTGTAGTTTGAAGAACATAGGCAAATAAGTCTAAGAGGTTTGAATATGGTCAGTCTTAGCTACATTGCAGGATAGAGCATGGCATATGGTTAGTCAAGGGATGGGCACACTTTTCTCAGTCTCTCTGAGTCTCAGTTTCATTATCTATAGAGTGGAGATAATAGTGGTACATACCTGACAGAATTGTTGTGAAGATTAAAAGGAGTCACACATGCCAATGCAGCTGGTCCCACGCCAAGTGCTCATTAAATGTTTCCTTCCACTCTATAGCACAGTTATGTGGGTGTTCCTCTTATCTTTCTTATTAACTGTAACCTCCCTGGGAGCATGCAACCTTTCTGAGAATATCTGTTTTTAATTCATCTGTGATTATTCCACTGTTTTGTTAACCTTGTATCCCCAGAGCCTGGCACACTGCATGGCACATAGGAAAAAATTCAGGAAGTATTTGTCAAATGAATGAAGAAATGAATTTTGGCCCGCCCACTGATTAAGACATTTTAGGGAAGGGGTGCTTATATTAGAATTTACCGGCAGAAATGCCCTGGGGAATCCGTTCTTACTGGTAGCTTTAAGATGTCCCCTGCCCCTTTCATAAGAGAGTGACCCTTTTTAGTTTCTTTTTCAAAAGCAGAAGAGAGCCCAGTGGAAATTTCCAGGCTGGAGACTTTAGGGAGCTACCAATATTTTTATAACATACAATGTTAAAAACAATTGTACGTGTGCCCAGAAACCTTTTAAAGCATGAATACCAGCATCCAACCTTATTTGGTTTCAGAAATTTAATAAACGAGTAATACAACCCAGTCATTGTTCCTTAAAAATTAGAGATCTACAATTAATAGCAGCAAAACAAAAACATCAGCTGTGTCTAATAGGGTGGTGGAGTGTGTCATGTCTCACCGAGGAGCCAGGCAACAAGTGGGCATTGAGTTAAGGTTCCAGAGAAGGGACAAAGACATGTGGCTGGATGACAGCTCATTAAATGTCACCAAGCAGAGACTACTGAGAGAGGAGGCATGTCACCAACTACCGTTTTTCTTTTTGCCGTAGCCTCATGCAAACATGTTGTGGAAAGTTCTAGTATGATTTGCAAAAAAAGTGTTAAGGTCCTCAACTCATAAATGATTCAGCGGTTCAGGAAATGAACGCTGAATGACAATTAAAAAAAGTATCAATAACAGATGAAATCTGCACACTGTGTCTGAGATTTTTAATACCCTTGGAGACCCCAGATACATATTTCTCATGCTGTAGAGCACTAATGTCTTTAAGGGTCATTACTGTCACCTCGGCTCACATTCATTTTTCTCCTCCCTCCTTCCCACGGGTTAAAGGGGAACAGTTGTTGTTGCTGCTGTGACAGGTTAGAGATGAGGTAAGTGTGAGATTAGAAGCCACATAGAGCTCGTACTTACTGCTCGCTTGGAAGTGAAGAGTTTCTTGACATCGCCTTCGGTGACAAATCATAGTCGCTATCTGATCGGTAGAGAAAGGACTCTCTCCGCTGGCTGTGCCCAGGAAAGGTGGCATGGAGCACCAACCCAGAGGAAGAGCTGGCCTGGGGGTCCAGTGGGCTCCGACCTGGGGAAGGGCCATTTTCCACATCAAAGCTTAAGAGAAAACAAAAAACTCTGGTCACATAACCATGGAGGAGGGCATCTGACATACACAAACATGAAGAACTAGTTGTGTGCCAGGCACTTGACATAAAATTCCACACTTTATGCACAATTTTAATCTTCCAAACAGCTCTGAGTTGCAGTCATTATTATTCTCATTTTGTATGAGGGAAACAGTCCCACAGAAGCCCAGTCATCAGTAAATAATAAAGGCAGGATTTGAAGCCTAATGCAAAGCCCCATGGCCTTTCAGTGGCAAGAACAACTTTGACAAATTCAGAATAGGAGCCAACCATGAAATAACTTGGTGATAATAAGCAACTCCAGAGACCTCATCTAACACAGCTCTAGGTGTCAGACACGAAACTATCACTTAAATGAGTCTTCGTAGCTGGGAGACTTCTTTGTGCCATAAATAAACATCATGGTCTATTAAGGATACAATATGCATATTTCTCAATGTTTCAGGAACAAAGTGCTATCCTGAAAACATTCACTGGCTGATTAGACGGGAGGCCCAGTCTGAGACTTAATAGTCACATGCAAGTTTAACCACAGAAAATGATTTAATTAATCTGATAATGCCAATTACCCTCTGGGGCTGCAGAGCTTTATGTCTTGAGGAGGATATGGCCAGTGGCTCCAGTATAGGAGAGCCCTTAAGGTTTCTGATCAGTCTGCTCCCCCTAGGAAGGTACCCTGAAGCCTAGAATTAGTTGAACAAGCTCTGATCAATGAACATAAAGACGGGAGCAGTAGAGATTACGTCTCTTGTTTTCTCTCCCCCTCTCTTGGTATTACCATAGGTACTGTGTCCTTCCCATGCTCTCCATCATCCCCTATTCATTTTCCCTGGAAGCACTACCTTTAGCCTCAAAGTGACAGTAACGCTCTCGCCTACCATTTCTCTAGACCACTCACTGGTCTCCAGTTAAAGCTCTGCAGAGAGGTATTGAAGAAGGTGTGAGGCTGAGAATGTTCTTTCTTCCGAGTTAGACTACAATAGTGGGCTTCCTTTATATTCATCCGGCTGCCATAATTTATTTCTATACTCATGGTCCTTTTTTTTTCTTTTTTACTAGTTCTTAAAATCTGCTCTCTTGGGGTGAGGTTTATATTTCTTTAGTTTATAAATTGCTTTCTGATCTATTATCCCACTTACCTCTCATAACAACTCTGGGAAGGATATAGTATGACCCCATCCTACATTTGAGGAAAATGAGGCTTAGAGAGATTTTAAATATTTGCTCAAAGTCACATGCTAGTACCTTGTAGAGCAAGTTACCGGAAGACCAAGTCTTCCAACTCTTTCTCTACAACCCCAGACCTCTCTTATCACAGAGTATCAGAATGGCTTGCTGGCTGGCTGAGTGCAATTTTTCTTCTGGATTCAAACAAAATTTGTGTTTGGTATGTAGACAGTCAGATGATGAGCAACCTTAGCTGTTATCTTGAATGGAGACAGGAGAGCAGCAAATTACCCTGAAGCTATAGGTTTCCTTGAAACTGGAAAGAAGAAATAACAGAATGCAGGGTTATAATGCTTCCCTGGAGACCATTCTGAGAAGCTGCTTTTAGCCAACCTACAAACTCCAGGTGTCTGATAAGAAGCAGCAGGTGAGAATCTCTGGTTAAAATGACAAGAAAGGGCCATAACAACCCAATATGTATTTGGACTTGCAAGGCACCTGTGCGTGGATTTTCACAGCAGGATGATGGTCTGGGATGGGGCTGCCTTTCAAAGACTGCAGGCAAGCAGGCAGGTGGGCAATCACTCACACACGCCAGCTTGTTTCTCTGTCTGCCTATAAGTAGAGCTATGTTGTAAGCCAACTACATCGCAGCGAGTGAAAATCTAATGAAAGCTGACTTGCAAACTTTCCTTGGGTGAGATCTATACTAGTTGTTGGGCAGAACAACAACAACAACAACAAACCCAAAAAAACCAAAACCAAAACCAAACCAAAACAAACAAACAAAAAACCACTCCTTTGTGGATAAGGGCTCCTTTGTGCCACCCAGATCCTGTGGAATGGGCAGGTCCTGATGATTCCTCTGAACTGTTCTTAAGGACAAAGAGGGGAGTTATAGATGGGACTACATAAAGCTTAAGAGTGGGCATGAGCTTTGAAGTTTCATGTATATTCACGTTATTCATTTGGGATGTATCTGTTCAGCCTTGATGCATATGAAAACATTAAAATGCTTTTGAAACACTTGGCAGCCAGCCATTGCCGCAGGCCCTCCAGAATTTGTTGGTCTCCCCGGTGATCCAGTAACTAAAAGGTTGGTGTCTGGAACAGCAGAGGTCTCTAGCTTTTAGCACTATGGCCTGCACCCATTTAATTGGTCAGTGTCCATGCAGTACCAGTCATTAAACATTATGACTGTGTGTTCCTGTGCTAAAACATTAGACAGGCACCATGTACATGTGACTACCAAACTCTTAGAACTTTTTCCATTGAGGGTTTCTGCCAGGGCTCACTCTGCCCTATTTTCTGCTGGAGGCATTCCTAGTGGGCAGAAAGTTTAAGTCAAGGCATTACCCTTACAGTGTATGTCACAAGGCATTCTGTCCCCAGTTAGTATCCAAGAAGACTGGTCTTACTAGGTAAGCAGGGACTAGACGCAGATACACAAACTCTCTCCATGATGCTCTCTTTTGGTTTTGTTTTGTTTCTGTCTTTATTCTTTACCCTGCCCAAACTCTATAAACTCATAGAAGAGCCTGCTGGAATTCAGAAGCCAGGGAAGAATTCTCTGGTGCAAAGAAGCAGTCTCAGGGAGACAAACGGCCTTTCATATTCCCTGAGGCACTGTTTCAAAGCAACCAACACAGATGTACAACTTAGGAACAAACATGAATCACCAACCAGACACCAGTCCCAGTCACAGCAAAATTAGCGGGCAGACATCACAATACATCCCGCAGATCCAGGGTGGGAGGAGGGGTGTGGGCAAGGAGAAGACTGAGGACAGACTTAACAAGCAAAATGAATAGACCACACAAACTGAAACACAATTAGGGAGAAAATGGAATCTAAAATATCAGAAACAAACACATAAATGGAAGAATTAATTTAGGATAAATTATTTAGGATAATTTTTTTTTTTTCTTAAGCCTTAAGCAGGACACACATTTCACCTTTAGGCTTCTTAATATTAAAAAATCATTATAACAGTAGTGTAAGCATATTATATAAAGCATAGACACTAGAGGGAAAAATACGACTTTTATTAGTAGTTTAGTATGTTTCCTTCTGAATATGATTCCTGTAGGCTTGGATGATTTTTTTTACAAGAATTTTTCATGTACTGCACAGTTTCTGGAATTATCATTTTCCATGCCCTGGAACCTGATGGTTCACCCAGAAGCTGTGCCATACTCTCCTATGCATTTTCCCTACTGTTGGCCATCGTACTTAAGATCTCAAATAACATTGTAGTTGATATCTTTGACCTTATAGCTACTTTAGTATTCACGTGAGGTCACTCAGAAGTTTCAGACAGATTAAGTGAGTTTCTGAATATTTCACTGAACCTCCCTTGAAGGGGCTGCCCATATCGAGGACACGGACTGAAAGAGTATTGCCTTTTTTCTAGGACCAGAGACAGTCCCAGAACTGCTCTCTCATGTCCAGGATTCTCTGTGTTTCCTCCCTCCTGACCTGCTTGTTTCTCCCTGACTTGGCTGATCACCCCGGACTGAATCAATTGCTTGTTGTCTAAGTCTGAATATTTTAACAACTTTCTCCTCCTTGGTAGTTAGACTTCTCGGCTTCTTGAGCCGGACTGATGGTAGCAGATGACACTGTGGGTATAAAGTGGTGCTCCCTGAAACTGGGGGGCCCTTCTCACCACTGTCTCCGGTAAGTCGCTATCTCCCAAATTCAGCTCATGGCACCTCCCCCGGCAAGTTTTCTCTGACAGTGAGGCCCCAGTTTGATGTAAACACCTGTTCCTCCTCTGTGCTCTCCTAGACTCCTTTACTGCAGTACTTGATCACAGCACTTGTAGATCTCTACTTAATTCTTTCGTTATTTAGCTGATTCCCAATAGATTCTTATTTCCCAGAAAGAAGGGACCCAATATTACTCACTTTTGTATCCCAGGCTCTGCATCAGAGCCTTGTAAATAATAGATCCTCAAAAGATGTCGGCTGAACCAATTAAAGAACACTGCAATTTACTGTGAAATGTTTCTCCCTTCCCTTCCCGCTTCCTGCCTCCTCACTCTCATCTCCATTCCCACCAACATGGGTTTTTGATGTTTCTTTCCAAAGAGTCTATGCAGATGTGTATAGACTTAATTGATAAGTCTTGTAAGGCAATGATCTAAGAATAAAATTAAATAAAAGGAATAAAATAAAGTAAAATAAAATGAAATGAAATAAAATAAAATAAAATAAAATAAAATAAAATAAAATAAAATAAAATAAAATAAAATACACTTCTATGTTCTCCCGGAACAAAACAATCTTATGTAGAAAAATACCTGCCTTAGATATTTGAGATGGTGACATCTTCACACAAACCCTATAATAGGAAAAGCTCTCCCATGCCAGTTTCTGTTTGCCATCTTCTCATCTCCTTCTTTTTAATAAAAGCAAGACTCTTTTCTCTGCCCTGCACTTTCTCTGCTGGCGGTTTCATTCCCTGGGAATGCATGCAAAGCCAGGCCCGAGCTGGTGCAGAAAGGGAGCCAGCAGATGGCAGAAGACAGCTGCAGCTTCCTCAGGCTGCACCTCCCAGCCTCCAACAGCAGCAGGTGGGGCTGCTTGCCAGTCTCCGAGGGAGAATGTGACTGAGGCCTTATTCATAAGCCTGGGAGGAAAAATCAGGGATAAAGAACAGAACCGCAAGGTCTACATGAAACCTTTTATTAAACTAAGAGAAGCTCTACTTCCAAGAATTCAAGCTAAGCCAGGTGATTGCAGAATTGCCTGCAATTGTTCCCAGGGTGGTTGTTTCCTGCCCCCCCCCAATTACTGC